CCCCAGCCGCTCGAGAGTGTCGGCTGCGAAATCGTGGCCATCTGTGAATGCATCGACGAGCTCTTCCCGAGTTATGCCAAGAGATTTGATCACGATTGCAGTGTTCTGAGATTTCCTCGGGTCGAGAATGAAAATCTGGGATGGTGAGCTTGAGCCCTGTTTCTTGTCACCGTCTCGTTCAGGCGATTTCTTCGCGACGTAGCCGAACAGAGCCTCCATTAGATCCCCATCGAAACTGGAAACAGAGCAATGGAAGAAAAAAAAGTTGGGATTTTTACAGATGGAATCGGATTAAGTGTGTGTCGAAAAACGAACCTGAAAGAGCCGCGATCGATCTTATCCCAGACCATGGAATGATCGGAATCAGGGTTGACTTTATCCCAATGCAGAGGCTTCAGCTTCACCTGACCATTACTTGAACCCCCCTCTGCACTCGCTCCTTTTGGCGCAGGCGGTGGCTTTGACGACGATGACGCCAGAGCCGCCGCCTTCTTCGCCGGCGGAGGTGGAGGCGGCGGCGAAGGAGCCTTCTTCGCCGGGACATGCGGAGGAGGCGGTGGCGGTGGCGGCGTTGAGGCTATCTTTGCCGGAACCTGCGGTAGTGGTGGAGGCGGAGCTGCCGAGGATATCTGGCTCTCCGCCGGTGGCGATGGCTCATAGTCGGTGTCGGAGCTCTCGTGTGTTCTAAAGGAAAAGGATTTGATCTTGTCGGGAGGAGGTATGGTAGCATCTCTGTGATTTTTCCGAGTTTCGTGATGGATTACACTATGAGAAGTCGATGATTTTCCTCGGAGAAGAGGAATTTCGGACACAACAGGCTCAGACTTCTTCTTGTTCTTGTAATAAACGACCTTCTTCTCTTCACCATCGTCGTCTCCGTTCACGACCTCCTTCCTGAAACTTCCACTTCTGTCCCTCTGAAGCTTTCTCCAATACAACACATCGAGACCGTTCTCGTCCACGATCACACCCTTCACGCCCCCGCCAATCCTCGTGAACCCTTCTCGCGCCAACGCCATCTGCGGCAGCAGAGGAGGAGCCGGTCGCAGGGCTGTCTCCGCCGCCACTCTGTCTCTCCTCCGCCGCGCGATGACGCATCTCTGGAGGAAGAAAAAGAACGCCGCCGCCACAACGACGGTGCTCGCCGCCGTTATCAGCACAGCCCTAGTGATCGCCGCCCTGTCGGAGGATGATTTTGGCGGCGGAGGCGGAGAAAGGCCTGGCTGCGGCGGAGGCGCGGGGGCGAGGGCGTCATCTGGGAAAAAGGTTTCGATGTTTTGCGGTGACCCGGATTGGGATAACGAAGGAGGAGGTAAAAGGAAGAGAACTAGGGTTAGATGGAGAAGAAACGGCCATGGCTGCAAGAACATGGCAGCCATGAACGATAGCTCATTTGCCAGTGAAAGATTCAACAGAATTCACAGAAAAGGAAACGTCTTTGTTCGTCTCTCGAGAAACCAAAGCAAACAAAAAGAATAAAAACAGTTAAGAATGTTTTTTTTTTTTCCTTATGGGGTTTAATCTTCGTACGGATTTGGATTTGGGTGTTTGGTAATGAAGATTTCAGGCAGAGCAGTTGATCCGTTCCGTTCTTCGAACCTCCGTTTCCACGGGAAGACAATCGATGTGTGTAATAAAATAAAATCCGAAGGGGTCGTCGAAGTTCGTGAGTGGTGCGGTTGACGTTACCGTTGACGTTTTAAAAAGGAGTGTTCGCTTGTTATTGTTTCCGTCACGTCGGCGTTAACGAGAGTGGATCACCAAATTAATTGCGTATTCCCCCAAAAAAAATAAAAGTTTATAATATAATGAGTCCGGTTACGTTATAAAATACAAAGTCATCTATTCAAATTCAAGAGCTTCGAAACGTAAAAAAATCTATAAAGAAACTCAACTATGTAATTTCACCGCGTATGTTATTTTTCACTGCGACGCGGTATTACTTTATTGTCCGTGTGACAAAAATTTATATTTTTTTAGTTTATAATATCAGCATTTAGTTGGTCAATGTTTTAAAAATTAGTTTGGACTCTGTTATATCATTAGAAAAAAGACGAAATATTATTAAATTGTATGAAGGAAATTCATAGAGATTAAAAAAACATAATGGTCGTGGATCGTCGGTCGTTTAGACTTTGTGTGAAAAACGCGGTAACACACTCATCCAAGGAAACTTGTGAACGTATGAAGCGATCAAACCAAACCCATATATATATATATATATATGTATATGCATGTGTATATGTGTATGTATTTTTGTAGCTTGACGAGGTAATATACATTCTCGAATGTTATATCTTCTTAGTTTTAAATTTGAATATTTTAGATGCATTGCATGTTAATTTATGCCGAAATAAATGGATATACAAAGTTACTAAGAATGAAGACATTAATACGAAATGCAAGACTTGAAATAAATTTGTCATTAAAGACCGCAGAATTACTATTTGCTATGAATTAAATGGATATTCAAAGTTGGACTTTCAATGGCCCAGTAGACAAGCACCTGTCCTAATTTAATTTTAATTTAAAGATGGCGGGCTTAGATTGTATAGCCCATTATGAATCGTGGTCTATATTCAATGAATAATGATTTATATTTTAAATTTTTGAATTTTGACAGAATTTAATTATTACATCTACCTACTTCACGATTTACAATATTTTCTTTATGGAAAACTGCGCCATTAGTGAATAAACTCATGTTTACGAGGCGACGAGAGAATACCGACCGGTTCAACCCTATAAATTGGCCATACATTTCATTTCAATATTCTCTAAGGGAAATTGGAAGCTGAAGAAGAATGGTTTTGGGTATTTGCAAGGCATTGGGTGCCGTCGCCGCGATCCTTAGTGGGATTCATTGCTGCTGTTGTTGCTTATGTATATCTGCTAATTGGTAGTTTTACCGTGCAATAAAATTTTAATCTATTTTATTTACTCTTGTACGTTTACATCTTTGATTCTCGTCCACAATCTTTCATTCTCTGTTAAAGTTCGGCGCTTAAACTGGGCAGAAATGGGCTTATGAATTGGGTCGGGGTTGGGCCCATTGGGCTTTGTCGGTTTAGTGTGTACAAGTATAATCGGCCCTCTCGACACTTTATATCCAAATATCGTATGCCATGTTCAATATTTTATGTTGCCTTGGTGTGAATAGGTTCATGTTTTTCCTTAATTTATAATTTATAATAATAATGCAATGTTGTGGGCCGTCTTTGATTGTAAAAGTTGTAAAATATTCCTGAGAAGGCTTTTCGGAGAGAAATGGCTGTAAACAAGACAATTTAACGTTTCCGTCCAGACACCAAAGTTCATGATTCAAATTAGATCACACCTCATATTATAACATGAATATTTTTTTGTTTATTAGTTTCCCATTCAGCGAATAATCTGTAATATGATTTGTACCGTCCAAATAATTCGTTAATTCAAAAAGTAATAATTCGTTGTAGGTTATATTGAGAAATGACAGAAAGAAAAAAGAAATTTTATGTAATAATTACACAAGATCGAGATGCTTTTTTATAATTGATAGCATCATATATTTTATTATAATATCCTCCTTCCTTATTTGGAATACCTACCCTCGGGTTTGCCTTGGCGTGCGCAGTTCGCACCCCCCAAAGAGGAGAAATAAGGCCGAAACAAGAAACAACCTGTGGCCCGGTAACCATGGCAACACGTGACTAAAAAGGGTGCGCACTACGCACCACGGTGCACTGTATCAGAAACCTTCGCACTTTTCGAATTTTTGTTTTTATTTTACACGGGGTTAACTCCGGTTTATTTCCTTAATGCCCCCTCCAATTTCTCAATCTCACTCTCTATCCGTGTGCCGGAGAGAAAGGTCCGGTTGCGTCGTTCTCGTCCGGAGCCATCAAGGTGTCGCGGCTTTCTATATATTTTCTCCCGGATGTGAATTTTCCGGCAAAGTTTACAGCTTTGAAGGAAGGATTGAGAAGAATCTCCTCCAGGTTCGCTTGCTGCTGACAATCCGGATATTCTTCCAGTGGAGCAGATTTTCTAGGATTTACAGGTGGAGAGGACGAAGGGCATCTCGAGAGAAAATGCCAGCACATAGATCAAAGTCGGAGAAGAAAGACGGGGAGGAGCACCTTTGTCTGGACCCTTACGAGGTTCTTGGCCTCTCCAGGATTTGTACGGATCAGGAAATCAAAAGCGCCTATAGGAGAATGGCTCTCAAGTAAGCTTTTGGTTTCTTTAGTTCTACATACGTCTTGTTTGTCGCTAGCTTGATCCCTCGCAATGCGAACACCATCTCATCTTTTTTCTGTTGATACAGTCCTAGAATACTACGATGAATCAGTTATCTGCAATTCTCGTGGATGGGTATATCATTTCTATGTTAAATCTGAAAAAAGTTGAGCGAGTGATGTTTAAAGGTTGAGGCTTTTCCTGTATTTTGGTTGGTGGGTTCAGTCCTATATGCAATGCAATGGTATGGAATCTAGTTGGCCAACTTATGATGGTGTTCATGGGGGATAATTTGCCTGGAGTGTATCTATGAGGCCAAAATGACAAGAATTAAGTCTGGTAGACAAGTGATCAAGACTCTTAGTTGAGGCTTGTTGATCTGTAATTTGCAAGGTGAGGTGGTGATCTAAGCTGATTCTCTTCCGAGATGAAAGACGAATAGGTTCTCTGAAGAATTTCATTTCATCCTCCGTTGTGTCATTGTTACCTTCATGAATGTTTGGTATTTCAGGTACCATCCTGATAAGAATGCGAATGATCCAGTTGCTGCTGACATGTTTAAGGAGGTCACTTTTTCCTACAATATCTTGCCTGTTCCAGAAAAACGGCGCCAATATGATACAGCTGGTTTTGAGGTGAGATATGCCTGCTTTATCTTAGGTTTCTGGATAAACTCTGAGCCCAACAATGATTTGTAGTTTCTGCTTCAGGCTGTTAATGGTGTTTGATGGAAACATTTGGCGTCTTGAGATATGGTCCAAATTCTTTTCTGCCACTACCTTTGTTTGCTTTTCGTTGTTACAGGCTGTTGAAGCAGAAAGCCAAGAGCTGGAGCTAGATCTCTCAAGTCTTGGAGCTGTGAACACTGTGTTTGCAGCTCTGTTTAGGTCAGTTTGCCTTAAGTGTTCTTCTGTTCATTTCCTGTTACCTCTGCACTTGTTGGATGCAAGTTTATGATTCGCGAGTTGTGGACTTTATTCTCAAAATTTTCCATGAAACAGCAAGCTTGGTGTGCCAATTAAAACCAGTGTATCTGCAACTGTCTTGGAGGAGGCGCTTAATGGAAGGGTCTCAGTCGATCCTCTTATACTTGGGCAAGCCACATCTAGGAAGGTGACTGAAGTCGGATGCCTGGCTATGGCTTTATTTGATCGTGCAGCGGTATTTACCTGTAATTTATTCTCATATACACAATCTCTCTTACAGGTTGAAAAGCTATGTGCTCACTTTTTTTCTGTCACGATAACAGAAGAGGAAGCAAGGTCCGGTTTAGTCTGCCGTGTGGAATCATCTAACAAAAGCAAGTTCAAGGTTCGTTTTGGTTGAACCTTTGCTTGTTTTAAGTAACATTGAGATTTTGTCAATTAAATATGTGAACTCTCTTGTATGCAGTTACTGTATTTTGATCAAGAAGACAACGGCGGATTGAGCTTAGCCCTGCAGGTATTGTCTTTGATTAATCAGGAGAGAAATGTAGGCTTCTGTCTTTTGTTTTTCAGATGCTAGCGGAGAAAGCTTGTAATGTTACCTGTTGTCAACTATGTAACTCTACTGCATAGATTGTTCTCTAAGACTAAGACAGAATTTTTGGTGGATACAGGAGGACAGCAAAAAAACAGGCAAGTTAACAACTGCAGGAATGTACTTTCTTGGTTTCCCTGTTTATCGGTTGGATCAAACTGCCAATTCGGTAAGTCCACTATATTGCAAATACGTTGGAGAATCGCCATCAAGAATTTCTTCTTTTTGCCCTTTTCTTCGTTTTCCCATCATGACTTGATTTATCTGGCTTCAGATGGCTCATGCGAAGGATCCAGAATCTGCATTTTTCAAAAAAACTTGATGGATTTCAGCCTTGCGAGGTTATTGAACTAAAGTCTGGTTCTCATGTCTTTGCAGTCTATGGTCAGTTTTATTTTCCCAGCTGCAGATTCATTTGGTTTTCTTACCTCTGGATCCAATACTCGAGATAATGCTGACGTGGTATATTGCATGCGGGTCCTTTTCAGGTGACAATTTTTTCAAAAGCGTAAACTACACTATCGAAGTTCTTTGTGCCGCACATTTTACACAAGAAAAGGAAGACCTTAGGTTGATAGAAGCTGAGATTCTGACAAAAAGAGCAGAACTGGCAAAGTTTGAGGCGGAGTACAGGGAAGTGCTTACCCAATTCTCAGAGATGACGAGTAGATATGCTCAAGAGATGCAATCGGTGAGTCTTTAGTCGCAAAAGATTTCAGTTGAGCCATGTGTAAGAAAAGACGGCAGAACCCATGTGATCAAATCCAACAACAAACTCAATTACTCGGTTTGGTTTTGACACAGTTCGATTGATCATCGTCTTTTTTTCCTCTATAGATCGACGAGCTCTTGAAGCAAAGAAATGAAATACACGCAGCCTACACAACTGTCCCACCAACAAGGAGTTCAAGCAAGAACACGAACAGAAAGAACTCATTTAAGAAGGCGAACCCAACAGCAGCTATGGAAGAGGAAGAAGAAGAAGAAGAGAGGAGCAGAAACAGGAGGAACAGGAAAACAGGTACGTGTGAAAATTCCGACAGAATTAAGAAGAAAAAATGGTATAATCTCCACTCGAAAGTTGACAAGAAAAAACATTGCTGAAGACTTTTACTGCCTCCATATTCTTTTTTCTCGTTTAGCTTCCCTTCTGTAAAATCGTTGGGTTTTTTTTTTCTTTTTCCCGCCGTGGAGGTCGGTCCATTTGTAAATCTTCCTTTCCTTCTCTCTTCCACGTATTTTTATCCAAAAAAAGATTTACTTAAATTTTATATTTTTGCGAAAGTAGATTTCTACAGACCATTGTATCAGGTACAGACAAATTACATTGCATTAGAATGTGGAATCATGTTACAGTTTTTATGTTTTTCTTGATTTAACGAATTCCTAATCACTGTAATGATCTTGTTTTATGTGGTTGGCTGTTATCTCTAACAACAACAAAACAAAAAGGAGGAATAGATCATTAGCGCGCATTCTCTTGTCTAAATCTCGACACTCAATTCCATATATATTTACGCCCTGTAGTCGTTGTACTGATCGCACCGCCTCCGAACCTCACCCTGCTTCCCCTCCTTCACGTTCCGCTCGCTCACCTTCTCGACGGCCTTTGCGAAAGCCTCGAAGAAAGCCGTCTCGTTGGCCGCGTACAGATCCACGACGGGCCGTGTCCTCTCGTCCACCGCGAGTGCCTGGTCCGATTGCAATAACCCGAACCCGTTTCTCAGATTCTTGTAATACATGTTGTCGAACTTCCCGGGCGTAAACACGTCGTTGAACGCCGACATCTCCTCGTCCACCGTGTAGTTCTCGCAGAGCTGCCGCAACTGAGTTGCGTATCTCGGATTGATCGCCGGGTCGGACTTGGACTCCGTGCTGTGGTTGAATATCCGACCAGCGAATTCCTTGCAGTGGGAGAATCCGATGGTGTGTGCTCCGACAAGAGCAACCATCTCCTGTACGGAGAACCCGTTTGATCCGAAGATGGATATGATCTGATCCATCGTCATGTTGGGTCGAGCCAGATTGCCCTCCACGCGGTCCTTGTCGGAGACGAGACTGTCCAGACGGCCGAACCTGATGTCGTAACGAGGGCCTCCGACCATGGTGACGAGGGTGCGAGTGGCGGCGGCCAGGATGTCGGCGCAGGAGACAACGCCGGGGCATTTGAGCTCGACGGCGGTCTTGATGCGGGTGATGAGGTCGAAGGCGTCGCCGGGAAGGGAGAGGTTGATGTCGGCGTCGCGTTCGGATTTCTTGAGGGGAGAGGACGCGACGAGGATCGAGGCGTCGCAGCCGTCAACCATGCAGTCGTGGAAGAACAGCCTCAGGATTCCGGCGGCCGTCGTCGGAGAAGCTATCTGTTTGTCGGTGGCGATTCGGACGAGTGTCTCTTCCATGTCCGGACATGACTTGCTGTAATAATCGGACGTAAGTTTGGCGTGAGAAAGAGATGGCGTACACAATAGAAGAGGAAGAAGAAAGACCATGCATAGCCCCCGAGGTCTCATTGAATTCTCTTTTTCGTTATCTTTCTCAATGAGTTTCCTCTTTTTTTTTATGGTCATCGTTGTTTTGTTTGGGCTATTTGGTTTTAAGATTATCGGAGGGATGTTATTCTTTCTCTGGTGAAATTTCTGGAAGAGAGAGTTTCAAGGAGAAACATTAATTTTTGTGTTTGTAGGATTTAACAAGAAATGTTTATTGATTTTATAGTTAACAAATATATCATGAACAGGTGTCGTGGTGTAGTTGGTTATCACGTCAGTCTAACACACTGAAGGTCTCCGGTTCGAGTCCGGGCGACGCCAATCTTTTTGTTTTTATTGGGCCGCATGTGGATCCGTACAGAGCCCAATAGGTGAGAACCCTTCTCCGGGAGGCCCAAATGTCATTTTTTTTTTATCAGTCGCTTACATTTTCTTTGGCAGACCAAAAGGTTTTAATTTTAAATGAAATTTAAATGAAAAAAAAAAAAAAAGAGGAGCTGTATCTGAATACGTGACATAACATTGTTAAAGAGGCCCTCAGGTTTTCATGAACTTGGGGCTGACGTTGATAGAGCCGGTTTACTATTAATTGTCATAATTATTGTTTTCCCTCTTTTTCATGTCGATTTGATTAAACCATGACAAAATTAAAGGACCCAACCCAATTCATTCATTGTTGGGAAGGTCGATTTTTTTTTTCCTCCTTCTTCTGGGAAAGAAAAAGAAAAGTTGATGCAAAATATTTTTTTTTATTTAAAAAAAGCAATTTAAAGTGAGCAAATTTTAAAAAAAAAACAGTGCAGAAAATACAAAAAATGCTAGGCTGTGTGGAGACCCATGGGGAATAAGCTTTGGTATATATTTGTGTGTCCGTTTGTATTGTCCACCATTCCTGATTTTTAAGTCATGGGACCATCCTCTCCTCTCCATACATGTTGGTCCAACCCAGCGCCCGTATTTCTATACGTATAAATCTACGGCTGTACGTAGAGCGAATGCACTACAAAATATTACACTGACCTTTGAAGTTGACGTCCTACGCTTGAATGACGTCATATCACCACGAGAAAATCGTATGGCGTTTTTAATGCAATCTATTTTTAGGTGAGAAAAGAGGAACTGAAAATGTTGAGAAAAAAAAAAACAGGTAAGAAGGGTATTTTATGTAAAATATATAATTCTTTATTTAAATTGTGATTATAATAAGGAGTGCGTGTTTTCGTTACAAATTCCATATTTATTCAAGATTTGTATGCAGATATATTTTGGAACAACTGATTATCAATTGAATTCGTTGTAACATAATTGATTACAGTTTTCAGAGAATAAAAACTCTATAAGTTTTGTAAAATATCTTGCATAGGTATATATATATTTTCAAAGAGCTTCCCCATTTGTTTCTTACATTAAATTCATATTTATAGTAGCATATACGATATCTGACAAGTCCTAATAAAAAGGTCAGATTTTATGAGGTCTGAAAATTAAAATGAATTCATATATATATATATTCCAATAATGTTTTTGAATTTTATGTTAGGCTGCAGAGGGTTGGCTAATACTGTTGATTTCAAACCCCTTTGCAGACTGTCAGTCAAACTCAAATAATTTCTTGGTATATTTAAATCTGTCTTCCCCTCCCCAACTCTTATAACAAGCACAGCTTTTAATTACAATTTCCATATATAATTTTTCTAATGTGATACATTCAAGATGTATCTTATATATATACAAGACATGTGTATATATATATATTGATTATAATATTTGGGTCTATTGAAAAAATCAAAATGAAAGGCGTTTGGTAGGATTAGGGACATGGCATATTCCTATTGGTCATCCAACCAATACGTGAAACAAGGCTTTTTTTTTAATCCGTTAAGATTTCATTACAAGCGTTTTGATGTATATTTTTCGATATATATACCAAGGGAAAGGAATGATGGAATATTATAATTATAGATTAGCCAGAATGTCGATGGACTCAAATTATTAATTGGATTGGATATTTATTAAGATATCGAAACCTAAGATATATAGACCAAAAAAAGAGAGGCTAGCTAGTGCGTGGTTAGATATGCACCAACTTAGAACTATTATAACAACTATATGCTCCACTTTATCGAATATAATATATACATATGGCATATATCTATATATATAATATATTCATTATTTGTCCCCGATCCGGCTCTCTCCCTATCCGCTTCCATTATTTCATATATGAATCGGATATCGGATATATATATATATAACGATTAAAATTGATATATTTTGTAGTGGTTTAATGAATCTGAATACTATATTTTCTTTTTATACAACGAGGTGTTCATATTTTACGATCTAGCTAATCTTTAAACCGATAAATAATATAGTTAACAAAAATATATGGTTGTATTTAAATGTACAAACTTTGAAAATCTAATTCAAGGAATCGACTTTCTAAAGGGTTGTAGTGTCAAATTTGAATATCGTGCATATACGATGAGTTGATTAAACGAAAGTGCTATATGTTGACCAAAAAATCAAGACTTTTGCAAGGAATGTTGTGTTGATCGTATGGATTATATATATATATATATATATAATATACGAAAAAGAGTGAAATGGCAGCGGAAGAGGGAGTCGTAAGAACAAGTCATAATCTGCCAACGCCGACCAAAGCCCAAAAGACGAAAAAGGGTCCCCTTCAAATATTTCGAGTGCATGTCTCGATGGCAACTAATACCAGAATCCTATGGGTTTTTAGACATTTATTATTATTATTATTATTATTAACCGAAGAAGGAAGAACAATATATATATATGTTCATATCCACATATACATTTTGTTTTTTAATATATATAAGATATCTTAGATTTCTCTCACGCGTGGGCTCTCTATGTCCTATCTGTACTCTATTTTTCAGGTTTATTTACTATCAATACAATTTTAATTCGAAAATTATATTATATTTTTTTATGAACGCTTTATTTTTATAACATATATATAGTGATTTTGTTACAAATAAAAAGTTCATTTTAATCCATCAATATGTATGTATATATATACACAACACATATATAGTATTTTGCTGTTAATAAACGATTTTTTTTATAAATCAATAAACAATCTTTTTGTTAAATCACCTATCATATTTAGAGGTGGTGCCACGCTTGAAAACAGATCATATACTGGCATAACGAAAAAAAAAAAGAGAGCAAATAATTGGAACGAATTCTCGCCATATGTATTACTTATATATATATATATATATATATATGATGGGTGATTTATGTAAAAAAGAAAATAATATAATGATTAATGTATTGAAATAATTTCAATTACATTTGCTGGTTTCCGCTACCTCGTGCTCGCCTTAAAAAGAAAGGATGGGGAAGAAATCTTCTGACAAAATGAGTCCATGTTGAAATTATCAATGGACCATATATTGTTGAAAATGACTCCACCCACTTTTAACTCTCGTACTCTTCGAGCAGCTAAAAGTCGACTCACTGTAATACGTATTTATCATTTAATTATATTTCCCGTCGTAAATATATTAATATAACGTTATGGTTTACTTTTAAACATGTTATTAGTACTTGTTTCTCTTAGCGTAAATAACATTTTTTTTATTTATTATAAAGAATTTTAAAAAATAGATCCAATCTGGATGTGGATACGACAGACACAATGGGTATGGGTGCTACTACTTAACTGCCTATTTTTTTTGTCTATATCTATACCATTTTAAATTTACTTTTTAGCTATAATGAGTGATTTATTATAGTATAATATGCTTTTTTTAAATGCAAATACAGGAAAGACTGATAAAAACGTTGAAGTTGTATGAAAATACAAATTTAAAAGTAGTCAAAACATGTTTATTTTTGTGACAAAATATGATTATTTTTAGAGTACAAAAGCTCTTTTTTCATAGAAAATTCTATCCTAAATTCTCTCATCTAGAAAATCCCGCACGCCTAAAATCAATATTTATTTTCTGTATTTGTGTAAGTTTAGAATCTTTATCGTTTTTATAAAGACGATATAAATAATATTAAAGTATATGTGTTCTCACGTATTTACAGGAAAAAGAAAAAAGAAAAAGAGATAGCGCGCGTATGTACTATCCAAAACGTATATTTATATGTGTACACACAGACTTTAACTGTTGTTTATTGTTATTTTAATTCACAATGTATACATACACACACATATATATGTATATATATTTAAGGAGAGGGCATATCATGTGTATAATATTTGTCTAAGTTGACTGTGCTACAGCTACAGGAGAAGGTCGCTTTTCTCCTAATATCAATTAATGTGATATTGACGATATTATATATTTACTAAATTGTTTTCGTGATGCGTGTAATGTTTCTCATCCATCCCTTGGATTGTCCTTAAGACCCACTGTTTCATTCACAGTCTTTTGGTAATTTCGAATTTCAATTCGCGTTTTAGTGTATGAGAGGATGACACTTTTTCTTCCAACCGGCCGTACCAATTATATGTCGCCGGTTATTTGATTGGTTAATCGATCGGTTTAGAATTTGTAATCGGTTTGTTTCTACCTGCTTTTATTTGTTCTTAGAGTAATTAATTAGCATTATTATTATTCTTCGAAATGTCAATACAAAGAAAGTTATATTCCAAATTCTCATCTTCCATTCATGATTCAATATCCCTTTACTTGTCATGCAAAGTTAATTGTGCAATATTAATTTTCCTAGCTTCGTACTTATTGTATAATACCAATTTATTAATATCACCGAAACCTTTATCCGCATGGGTGTCCAGCTTTGGAAAGGCTTCTTTTGGCGAGATTATCACTTGCTAAGACGGGTATTTATACATACATACATACATATATTGGATATCTAATGACATGCCATGCATAAGATGTGACGTTCTATTTAAGTCATATATAATTATGACATATATATATATATATATATATATATATATCACTAACCCTTTCCTGCTACAACATCTTTACCTATATATTGATCGAGAGAATCCAAAACAAATACCATCCATTCAAGTCATAGAAATCTAGATTATATATATATATATATATATATATATATATATATTCACTATCGCATGGATAATCTTGTGAAGATTAATGCTATTTTAGTAGCTGAATGAAAATGAAAATAATTAATACCACACTATAGTTAAGGACGATGATCTTTGCTCTTTGTGGGTACGGATGGCGACACGTAATTCAAAGTTTCATTAATTTTGTATCGTTCAGTATCGCATTTTCAATCCCACCATACCAACGTTTAATGGGGGGGGGGGGGGTGG